GGGGGGGGACTGGATGCAGTATGGTGTGATAAATTGTTTTTAGAAAGGTATCTTGCTAAATTGTGTTCCAACCAGTGTTGGGAAAACTTGTTCATCGGATGCAAACAAATTAATGGACAAACAATCAAGACAACTACAGTATGCATATATGTACCCTCTCTACTCCATCAAAACCAACTTTAAGTACCAAATTTTATTACTTAAAACACCTTAGAATAAGTTTGATGGTGTTTGCATTTTCTTAAATTGGCCCACACCCTCATAATAATTTGTTTAAAGTTGAAGAAAAAATAAATCTGACCTACCCTATGTTTTTCACTTGTGTTAACTGAAACATACGTAATTATTTTTTTGCTTGGCCTTAAATACATAATGTATTTATAGTACCACTTTGTACAATCAGACTAATGTGTTGTTTATAATATTAGTTTTGTACAAACACACCATGTTTAGTTGCAGCAAATCATAATATGGTAATGTTGAGATTTGTAATTTCACTTGAAATATTTAGAAAGCCTAGAAATGTGCATCATTTGTTTTTCAGAGGTGCAGACATATGTAACCTGTGTTGGCCTCTCATGCAGATAGCCATTAAGATCATCGACAGAGCTTTACGAGGTATGTGTCACAGCTACAGACAAGGTCATCGTGATATTCAGTCGGATGAAGTTGAATTTCCATCAGTATTATTATCAAATTCATCCGTTTTACTGATTTCACGTATCTGCTTCAGATGACTTTGGCTTCAAACACATGCTTTGGGTTTATTCTGGACGACGTGGTGTCCATTGTTGGGTTTGTGATGAAGTTGCCAGGAAACTCTCAGCTCAAGGACGAACAGCCATTGCAGAATATCTCAGCGTTGTAAAGGTATCAGAAAATAGTAATTTCAGAATATCTCAGCGTTGTAAAGGTATCAGAAAATAGTAATTTCAGAATATCTCGGCGTTGTAAAGGTATCAAAAAATAGTAATTTCAGAATATCTCAGCGTTGTAAAGGTATCACAATATCTCAGCGTTGTAAAGGTATCAGAAAATAGTAATTTCAGAATAGCTCAGCGTTGTAAAGGTATCAGAAAATAGTAATTTCAGAATATCTCGGCGCTGTAAAGGGATCAAAAAATAGTAATTTCAGAATATCTCAGCGTTGTAAAGGAATCAGAAAATAGTAATTTCAGAATATCTCAGCGTTGTAAAGCTATCAAAAAATAGTAATTTCAGAATATGTCAGCGTTGTAAAGGTATCACAATATCTCAGCGTTGTAAAGGTATCAGAAAATAGTAATTTCAGAATAGCTCAGCGTTGTAAAGGTATCAGAAAATAGTAATTTCAGAATATCTCAGCGTTGTAAAGGTATCAGAAAATAATAATTTCAGAATATCTCCAGTGTTGTAAATGGTATAAAAATACAGATAAAAAGTAATTACAGAATATTTCAGTGTTGTTATGATACAAATATACTGGTCTACCAGGATAAGAAGCAAGATGAATATTGAAAATTCTTAATTCAGTGGAAAAAATTACATGCAGTAAGACGGCACACAACTGAAATTTATTACCAATGGTCAGTTTCGTAAAATACAATTAAAAATGTCTGCCAAACATTCTGATTTAGTTATTTTCTAAGTTCATGTATGAATATTGAATGTAATAATCTATATTAATGTTACGATTTCCAATTTATTCTAAAAAAATCAACAACCTATTGTGATGTAAATTACAGTATAATTTATAAATCAAGCTTATTTGTTGTAGGGAGGGGAACAACAGACAAAGAAGGTGACGTTGGATGACCCCATTCATCCCTCTATCAGACAGTCCATAGATATTGTACGGCAACACTTCCATGACTACTCCATCAAAAAACAGGACTTCCTGGGCGATGAGGAAAAACAGAAAAAAGTGCTAGCTCTGGTACCAGATGATGATATCCTTTAAAAAAAATGTATTGTTTGTGTCCGCAAAGACTAATATGTTTTATTGAAGTTTTTAAATCTACGTAACTGAAGAAGATGGCGAGGGTGAGGTGGAGACGTAACAGATTATACAGGTTTCCATGTCAGAAGTCATTTCAGGTGTGTTTACCTAGGTAAAGTTGTTGTTTTGATCTTTCAGAATTATGGCCTATTTTTTTTACTGTGTGCAACATTTTCTGGAACATATCTCATTTAAAATATTCTGTCACCTAGAATTGCCAAATACTAATGGTGTATATGAGTATCTCTTTGGATGAAAGTCTTTTTAAGATTTTCACATACTAACATTGGTCAAAGACCCTGTAGCTTACAATAGCCAAAGTTGTATTGGAGTGCCTCAAGGGATAATAAACTCTTGTGTTCTGATTTTGAGTCCTTTTTCTCCCACAAGCACACTATAGGTTTCCTCACTCCCGATTCATTGGATTAACCTGCTAGGAGTTGTTAAACGTTTTTGGTTACCCACTAGGGGGTAACACCCTGGACATGATTTCATTGGTCAATTTTTTACTTATGACATCAAGTAACAATGTTTTGCAACTTAATCTCCATTGTGATGTCACGATTCACAGCAGTTGTTTCCCCCCATCGGAAGCGGACATGGTGTATTTTCAAGGGAAACATATTTCTTTCCAGATAAGATATGAACGTTATGGGAGAAAAAAGATCCCAAACTCTTGATGGTAGGTTATCATGTTTAATTAACTCTCATTTGCTAATTTTCAAATTGTAAAAGACACTCCGTAAACCTCGTGTCTTTATACAATTTGAAAATTAACTAACTCGAGTTAGATACACATGATAACCAACTATCACTGGTTGGGGAACCTCTATTGCGCCCATCATATTAATTTTCGGACACATTGTTCATTTTGATTTCGCAATTTAGAGGATGGGGAGCATTGGATGGCTGCAAATACTTGCGTGATTAAGTGGAGCTTCAGCAATGTGTGTCCTATATATTAAATAAACCAGTAGAGAATATACAAATCCAGCAACCATCAGTCTTAAGTTAAGATCAAGACTGATTATACTAATGACAAGTTTTTTTTTCTTTTGACATACTAATGACAAGTATTTTTTTCTGTTCTCAACAATATTTTGTACATTTTATCATAGCACCTTGTGTCAGTTTTGTATTGGAGAATTGATTTTGTGTATAATTTCATTGTAGGCCAGACTTCATGGCTGGTAATACTTGTGGCATGTCTATAGTATCCATAGAATATAAAGATCATGAAAAGGTTTTTTTACTCCAACAATAAAAAAATCTTTGTGACGTTTCAATGACTAGAACGATATGTACACTGTCACCTTCATCAGACATATGACCAGTGAAGCGAAAATGTTTAGAAACATAGAATGTAAAGACTCCATATTTGGTTTTTCCGTCTTTTTGTATTGCAGAGTTATCTACTCTTGTGAGCATGTATTGATTGTTATGTCGTTAGTTTGTGTGAGAAAATTAACGTCGTTTTCTCAAACATTTATGACGTTACTCTCACAAACAAATGACGTAACAATCAATACCTGCTCACAAGAGAAGATAACTCTGCAATACGAAATAGAGTCGGTGAAAAAGAAATGGTTCAAATATATATATGATTATGAATACTCAACTGTTCACCAGACTGATCCGGTATAAGGACTTGTTGATTATTCATGTTGTTAGCCTTAACCCTATGTACTGCTGAGAAAAACGTTAGAGGGAGACTTTGAGATGGGAAGCAACTCTGGCAACTGGTGGGCAATCATAGAGAAACGAGAAAAAGACTGTGTGTCTAAGGTTTGTACTTCCTCCTTGTATTTATACCTGCCTCAGTGAGAAAGTGAGGGAATATTACATTTATTATAAGGAAACTACTGATAAGAAGATTTTGTGTGTATCTTCTAGATCAGGTTTTTCAGAAAGTTTGCTATTTTCTTCAAGACATCAGTTTGCTTTTTCTTATGTTTCAACCAATATGTGGTTGCTACAGGGTTTGTTTTTATGTTTCAACCAATATGTGTTACAGGGTTCCTTCAAGGCATCACACCACATCGTGGAGGAGATTATGTTACAATACTGCTACCCCCGACTCGATGTCAACGTCAGTAAAGGTGTCAACCATCTTCTCAAAAGTCCCTTCTGTATACACCCTAAAACAGGTAAGTCTTTGTCCAGTGTCAAACTACTCCTTAAGCTCCCCCTGTTATAGTGATAGATAATAGTTTGTGGTTCTTATATACCGCTGTATCACAATCTAGATAGTAGGTCGTCTCAAAGCGGTTCACAAATTATTATATGTGGTTAAAGGGCCTTTGCAACCAGCCAATATCTTTCTCAACTCCCTGGGGGCATACAGCCGGTGCTGCCATTTCGGCGCTCACAGCTAGCATTCAACAATTTTAGCACTGCCCAACCAGGTACTCATTTACAGCTGAGTAGACTGGAACAAGCAGGGTAAAGTATCTTGTTCAAAGATACAACATAGTGCTATGATGTGACTCGAACCCGCGACCCTTCGGTCAGGACCCCCATGCCCTACCGCTAGACTACTGCGACTACCTGTTGATACCTGAGACAAGTTATTTTTAAATACCTAGCAAAGACAGGCTGCATTGTATTATAACATTGATGGATTACAGTTGACATTTAATATCTAGAAACAACTGTTTACCTGTTTACAGTTTACCTGTTTACCTGTTTACCTGTTTTACTGTTTACCTGTTTACAGTTTACCTGTAACTGTTTAACTGTTTACAATTATAGTAATTCTAACTATCATGGAAGCTGGGATATGTTTGATTTTCTGACCATAAAGAATGGAATTATGACCTCTGGGTTCTGGTAGAACATTGTATCTGCTCGATTTCTCAAGTAATTTAGCAATAATTAACTTCAATGTCATCCTGAGGAGGTGAGTTACCAGGAAAGATATGTTTGATGTCCACTATCATCTAACTGTTATTAATGGAGTTATGGACCCTTAATTCTGATAAAAACCTGTTTTCCGCTCAAAATTTTCCAGGAATAATTACTATCAATATGTAAAAAAAAATATCACTTTGATGTCAATTCATCAAGAAATATTTATAAAAACCTATTCTTATAAAAAGTAATTCTGGATATTTTACTATAAATCACAATAAAATCTACTTGTATTTATAAAACTAAACAACCTACTCTACAAAGCTATTACATCATTCATTGCCGAGTATTAACTGATTTCTTAGTCATAATCAGCTGTCGGTGAAAATGAAGAACTTCTAACAGCAACAACAAATGATAACAACATTAGTTCACAGTTACCTGTTTCTTTTCTGCAGAAATTACAACTCGTCGAAAAAATACCATGACAATCTGCCATTTTTTTTACATTTGCTTGGGTGAGCCTAATAATGACATCCGGTACAAGTTCCTGAGTTGTGGTATGGAAAGAGTTTAATACTGCTACAATAATTATTTAATGTCTTTAATATGATTTTAGGGCGAGTTTGTGTGCCAATAGATATCGAACATGTGGAGGACTTTGATCCAATGGCAGTACCCACTATCAGGTAAAAACAGAAATGTTTCAAAAAATTTAGATATTTAGCTTTCAAACTGAACTGAAAGTTTGTATTGTATACCAAATTTGTAACTTTGACTTAATGTGTGAAACAGGTCACATTATTATTATTTTCTTCAATTCCTGAGAATTCTGTGATTGGTTATAACAATATACTCATCACACCAGATGTATCTGTCATAATGGTATTGGGAAACTGATCAGGCTAAGTCAGATACTGGACTAAGGGTTTATATGTTTAGTAATTTAGATCCTCTGACGAAGTTCTATGTTATCTTGTAGTCATATACTGGACTAAGGGTTTATTTGTATAGTAATTTAGATCCTCTGACGAAGTTCTATGTTATCTTGTAGTCAGATACTGTACTAAGGGTTTATTTGTATAGTAATTTAGATCCTCTGACGAAGTTCTATGTTATCTTGTAGTCATATACTGGACTAAGGGTTTATTTGTATAGTAATTTAGATCCTCTGATGAAGTTCTATGTTATCTTGTAGTCAGATACTGGATGAGTTAAATCAGACGTCTGCAGCAGCTGCTGATGATTCAGGGAAGAAAGTCAAAGGTAAGACAAAAAAACTACAAATTGAGACAAGAAAATCAAAGACTAACGGTTACTCTGTAAGTATACAACTGTCTTTCTATTGGGACTGAAGTCTCGTGACTAGGGCAAGCATCTGAACCTATTGTGCTAACTTACAATGTTAGTAGGCAACTAGTGTTAGACCTCTTTACCGGTTTTTGAAAGAAATGTGGCCCTTCTGTGTCAGGAATCAAATTTTCTAAACAATTCACATCTTAATTCACAAAAGACAGGACTAAATACTGCAGCTAGAGTTACACGACTTCACATGCTACTGTTCCTCTACAATTCACAAGCTACTGTTCCTCTACAATTCACATGCTACTGTTCCTCTACAATTCACATGCTACTGTTCCTCTACAATTCACATGCTACTGTTCCTCTACAATTCACATGCTACTGTTCCTCTACAATTCACATGCTACTGTTCCTCTACAATTCACATGCTACTGTTCCTCTACAATTCACATGCTACTGTTCCTCTACAATTCACATGCTACTGTTCCTCTACAATTCACATGCTACTGTTCCTCTACAATTCACATGCTACTGTTCCTCTACAATTCACATGCTACTGTTCCTCTACAATTCACATGCTACTGTTCCTCTACAATTCACATGCTACTGTTCCTCTACAATTCACATGCTACTGTTCCTCTACAATTCACATGCTACTGTTCCTCTACAATTCACATGCTACTGTTCCTCTACAATTCACATGCTACTGTTCCTCTACAATTCACATGCTACTGTTCCTCTACAATTCACATGCTACTGTTCCTCTACAATTCACATGCTACTGTTCCTCTACAATTCACATGCTACTGTTCCTCTACAATTCACATGCTACTGTTCCTCTACAATTCACATGCTACTGTTCCTCTACAATTCACATGCTACTGTTCCTCTACAATTCACATGCTACTGTTCCTCTACAATTCACATGCTACTGTTCCTCTACAATTCACATGCTACTGTTCCTCTACAATTCACATGCTACTGTTCCTCTACAATTCACATGCTACTGTTCCTCTACAATTCACATGCTACTGTTCCTCTACAATTCACATGCTACTGTTCCTCTACAATTCACATGCTACTGTTCCTCTACAATTCACATGCTACTGTTCCTCTACAATTCACATGCTACTGTTCCTCTACAATTCACATGCTACTGTTCCTCTACAATTCACATGCTACTGTTCCTCTACAATTCACATGCTACTGTTCCTCTACAATTCACATGCTACTGTTCCTCTACAATTCACATGCTACTGTTCCTCTACAATTCACATGCTACTGTTCCTCTACAATTCACATGCTACTGTTCCTCTACAATTCACATGCTACTGTTCCTCTACAATTCACATGCTACTGTTCCTCTACAATTCACATGCTACTGTTCCTCTACAATTCACATGCTACTGTTCCTCTACAATTCACATGCTACTGTTCCTCTACAATTCACATGCTACTGTTCCTCTACAATTCACATGCTACTGTTCCTCTACAATTCACATGCTACTGTTCCTCTACAATTCACATGCTACTGTTCCTCTACAATTCACATGCTACTGTTCCTCTACAATTCACATGCTACTGTTCCTCTACAATTCACATGCTACTGTTCCTCTACAATTCACATGCTACTGTTCCTCTACAATTCACATGCTACTGTTCCTCTACAATTCACATGCTACTGTTCCTCTACAATTCACATGCTACTGTTCCTCTACAATTCACATGCTACTGTTCCTCTACAATTCACATGCTACTGTTCCTCTACAATTCACATGCTACTGTTCCTCTACAATTCACATGCTACTGTTCCTCTACAATTCACATGCTACTGTTCCTCTACAATTCACATGCTACTGTTCCTCTACAATTCACATGCTACTGTTCCTCTACAATTCACATGCTACTGTTCCTCTACAATTCACATGCTACTGTTCCTCTACAATTCACATGCTACTGTTCCTCTACAATTCACATGCTACTGTTCCTCTACAATTCACATGCTACTGTTCCTCTACAATTCACATGCTACTGTTCCTCTACAATTCACATGCTACTGTTCCTCTACAATTCACAAGCTACTGTTCCTCTACAATTCACAAGCTACTGTTCCTCTACAATTCACAAGCTACTGTTCCTCTACAATTCACATGCTACTGTTCCTCTACAATTCACATGCTACTGTTCTACAAGTACTGCATGTTGCATAGGAGAGAGAAGGATGACTTTTTGTAGCTTAATTTGACCTTTGACCTTGGCACTACGATTTTTCCTTAGTTCTGAAGTATGGGAGCGGGGCATCTTTGTCTAATAGACACAATCTTAGTTGGGTTTTTTCCTGACAATTTTAATAGGATCGAAAATAAATTGTGTCCTCTAATGAACAATGTTCCGCAGTGGTATATAAGTATAGTTTATCAACATGTCTAATTTCTAAACTGAACCAGAAAATAGTATCCAGGGAAATAAAAAGACCATTACCTAAGGCCTACAAGGTATGGATCTGTTGAATTCTAAATAGAACTAATGGTTCTGTTGGCGCTCACTTGAGACAGGTTTCTATGTTCTTATAGTTTTCATTACTGTATTTGACCGTAAATAAGCACCCATCCCTAGTGAAAAAAACATAGACCAAAAGTAGGGAGGGGGCTTAATTGCGAACACCCCCCTGTTCACAAATGTCTGCCATCTTGGATATACCACTGTTTTGATCTATGACCACACTAAATATCATGTACTTATAGTTGTTCATGTTGTAAAAATATCAACTAACAGACAGAACAATTGCCAAAGTGGGGAGGGGGCTTATTCGCCGTCAAATACGGTATACACGTAGGTGTATCCACATAGTACATTTATACTTTCTTGTTACCTTGACAGATAACAACTGGTTTGAAATGGCAGTTAATATATCATCAACACAACAGTATTAAAACAAACAATCTGCTCAGGTGCTGCTGTACATATTACAAACAAATTACCTGATGTAAAAATCTACATTTAATGATTAATGAGACTGCACAAGAAGTCGAGTTTTACAGATAATATTTTGTTTTTTGCAGATTACAAGAAGACGTCTATGGGGGAGTATCTAAGAATATTTGACAAGTTCCTGAAAGGCTTAGAGTCAACGTGGTCTGGAAAAATCCTTAAACAGAGCGGTGAGTTAGCCATCATCTCCGACCTTTACTTTGAAGGTCGAATGTGAAATAATAAATACTCCATCAGAAAAAGTTTGTCCATGTACTAGTTTAACCTATTACTAATATGTATTACCAAATATGGTGTATTTCATTCAATACTTGATGATACTTGGCATATTTTACATTTTAACTCTGAGTTCTTGTATATAGGAATGTTAATTATAACATATGGGTGGTCGGGTTGCGGAGTGAACAGGGTACTTGCCTTTCATCAAGGCGGCCAGTGTTTTATTCCTTGATCAGACGTGAAAATATATGGGGGCACCTGCCCGACTACCAGGGTTTTCTCTGGGTTCTCTGATTTCCTCCTACATTAAGACCCCCCGTGCTAAATTCAGGGCCAACAGAGTGATTAATATAAGCTGTAAAAACTTGCTGTAAAATAAATAAAGTTTACATATAATTACAATATAAACATTGGACAAATACACAAAAGCTAGGCTGTTGTATGGATGGTACACCCATCAGATTAAGGATCCCTGTCCCTACCTCTGTTGTTCATTACAATTTAAACATCAGGCTAATATACAATAGTATGACAGTTGAATGGCTACACCCATCAGATTAAGGATCCCTGTCTCACCTCTGTTGGTCATTACAATTTAAACATCAGGCCAATACACAATAGTATGACAGTTGTATGGCTACACTTATCAGATTAAGGGCTCCGGGTCCCTACCTCCTTTGCTGATTCGTGCAATGTAAATATATCGGAGGATAAAGTGATTATATGACAATGTCCTAGTTATCGAGGAAAAAGTGCAAACAACATGGCAAATCTCTTTCGAACGTTGGCACTAATTGGAGCAACATTAACATGTTTTGACTCTAGAGGCGAGTCATCATCATTCTGATGAATTGCCTCAGAGTCAAAAACATGTCAATGTTGCTCCAATAAATTTCGACCTTTGGAAGAGATTTGCCGGGTTGTTCGCACTTTTTCCTGGATTTTTACTTACATCCGTGTATACTTTCTTGGTATCCACAGTATAATCGACGAAGAAATAGAAGATACATCACTAATCTAGGACGTTGTGTCCCTTCCTCCCCTCTTCTATGAATGTCCTAATTAGAAAGATTGCTGAAGCAGAAGTTGAAATACTTCAAATATATTCATGGATACACTTCAAATTTTCTTGTGTCTTTTCATTGCATCAAAGTTTTAATACATTTGTAAAAAGTTAATTTTTATACATATATATACATGTATAACAACATAGATTTTTTGGGTTTATTTTTATTTTTATTCCTTTTCAGATGAAAACAGAGAGTTTTGACAACTGTGAGAGGATTTCTAATGCATAGGAACGCATTGTCATTTAAAATTAAAAAAAGGTATTTAGACATTCGAACATTTGGAGGCTGAGCTCACAGACTTCATGTAGTGACAGATATGCTGTGAAAGTACAAGAGACAGGATTTGATCATGGATAGTCTGCATAGATACCACAGGTGACTTGTACAGGATTGTCTGGTACATTCAGTGATAAGCTACACTTGTTACAACTATGTTTTAGATATATCTGATATTCTCAACACTGTATACTAGACAATGCAATGTGTGTCATGAAACTATAACATCATTAGGTCAGGTGACCATCATTGTAACGTCACCGATCTGATTGCGACAACACTGATCTTGCTGTTCTAAAAACTTTACAGACTTGGCATTAAGAACGGGAAACAACAGAAGAAAGAAAAAATACTGTTCACTGCAGTTTAGTGTTCCGACTTTTTTCCCCTTCTGTAATTGGGGCGAATTTATCATTACAGCGAATGTTTGTACACAGCATAATACACATAGTAAGTAAATGTGAGGGGCAAATTTAATTTGGGCAAAAACAAATTTTATCATCGAAGGACGAACATTCTACTGGGAGAAAATTGCCTGGGCTACAACACTCCATTGATATAGATATATAATTAGTGATTTTTTTAGCAAATTATGTCAGGTTCTATAACGTCCTTTGTTATTGCATATAAACTATGAATGAATGAAGAACTGCTGGAAATACGTTTATCAGCTAAAGCAGTGCATGTTAACGGATGCTAACTCCATCTGCTGTAACATTCAATAATTAAAGATTTTAATTGTTCTTTAGTGGAAAATTATGAACTATAAAAAAGTTCAATGAAATGAAATACAGTTCACAGTCTGGAAAAAATACTGCCTACAGAAGTGGAAAAAATAGATTTTACCATACACCAGAAATATGCATAACTGCATACATGTATTTCTATTTTTTGTTCTTTCACTTAAATTATAAAAAAATTCAAGAATGGTTTGGTGGGGATAACAGAAACTATCTTTGAACTACTAGAAAAGTCTTGTGCTTCTTGTTTTTATTTTAGTCTTTTCCAGAACCTGTCACGGTTTGGGTATGAGAATTTTCTTGTTATACAATATTTAAGCCTAGGTGATCGATTTTACTCCTTTACCTCTGTATTTCCTTCGTGGAATTTTCCATCTTTGATTTAGAGCAGTCCATATGTGGCCTGAGGGGGTTTACTTTATCATCGTCTACATTGACACATTCTTGTTGAAGGTGTCTCGACCCTTGGAAGGTTCTGGAATAGACTGTTACTAAATTTAATATTAGATATTGGTATGTATACATTTGTGTAAATAATGCATGTTAATAAAATGATGGTCTATGTCAGTAAAATATTTATCAAAGACTATTGTTTCATTTTTATTTTGTAAGTCCTGTTGCGTAAAAACAGTTGTAAGGGCTGTTGCAGGCACGCATCTACTGCAAAGTAGACACTTTGAAGTGTTGAAATACTTACATTTTTTGTGTTGAGGAAATTCGCATGAAAAGATTCACAACTGAATATATATCTATACGTAATATAGAAAATATGGGTCAAAGAAGAAATATCAACGGTAAATTCCCATATAACACTAATCCTTATATAAGTCATCCTCGATATCCAGGGGTTAAGCTCACTTTCGCTCTCTACACCCCTGGCATATGTTGTAGCAAAATTGAAGGCTCGGTGTGCGCCACCTTGTTGATGAGACAAGAAGACTAGTTCAATCCTTTGATATACAGTGTGTACATCAAAAGAATCTTGTGGTCATGTAACAATAAAAATTGACAGGCTTTGAAGTCGGGTGTCTCTCCTTTGTAATCTTAAAAGGATAGGTATCAGCCTAGGGATTGGTCAGGGTTTTTTCACCTGAGACCAAACAAACAGCTATTTTCGTGCCTTCAATTTTGCTATGACATATTCCAGGGGTGTAGAGAGCGAAAGTGAGCATATCCCCTGTATATAAGTGTGTTTGTAGGATACAAATTACTTAAAATTGTTATATGGGACAAGGAAGTAATTCCAACAGTATAGACAATATGAGGTCAAATTTTCAGAGCAATCCGCTCCTTTATCGAGACATAGAAAAGCACAGAACACTTACAGAAATATAAAAGGATATATATAAAAAACAAAACAAAGGACAGAGATAGCGTCTCTAGGCCTTTCTCAGGTTGATTCCCGTTCATCAGGAGACTGTTTATTTTGAAAACGGGCATTGTGAGGTCATAGTTGTTTACACAAGAAAGTATGACGTCATCAATAATGCAAAGTCATTATGATGTCACAGAAGGCATACACATAAATCCATGACGTCAACATCAATACAAGCTTAATTGTGACATCACAATACTTAGACAAATGCATAGCATAATATATCCGTGGACATAGGATATATATATATATTTCAGTCAACGTCAATGTGAAAATTTCTACACCATGATCAGTTTATAAAGTCCCCAAGCAAACTTTACCACATCAAAGATTTGTCACTGTTACAGTAGTCAATCCCAAGATTCCAGGGTTTCTTTAGGGGGTACCATCCAAAGAATATAATTCATAAAAATTTACACAACTTGGATGTAATAGGCAGAATATTTTTGGGTCAAATAGAAGTTTTACTGAAATAGTTGAACATCTGACAAAAACTTTCTGTGAGCTGAAGTGATGATGCAGTATTTGTCCATTACCTACAGATAACATAATCTTTAGACAATTTCTACAGATATACAAGACCAAGAATCGTGATATTGTTTTTGTCTCGCCGCCACGAAGTGGAAGCTAGACATAGGTGTTGCTTTTCCGGCGACGGCGGCGTCAACATTAAGTTAGTTTCTCTGAAAGTATAAGTGCTAAACCAACCAAACTTTGAGCATTGAAGCATTTTAGGAAGAAAATATCAACCCATGCATCAAATGCTGGATGCGGCCTACCTTTCATGGTCCATTGACTTTGTCAGCATTTCCATCAACATTAAGTTTTTGCATTTAAGTTAGTTTCTCTGATATGTGCATTGATGGTCAAAGCGAGGCAAAGGCGACATCATCAATCCAAATGGCTTGTATTCCTCCTTGACTACACCCGTGTTTGTCTGTCTAAAGATGAGGGTACCAACAAGTTAATTCATAGTACAGTGTATTACCTTTGTCACTATTGTAAAATTTAAGTTGAAGACCTTTTACGAAGAAATGTTCCATTAAAATCACATGTTGCCTAGATAGGATAGAATTGTAGTTGTGTGGAGTTTAAACATTTGAAAACAGAAAACAAGAAAAGAGCAGTGATCAAACTGGGAACCTTAACATTACACAGCCTACACTTTAGCAGTGTGGTCATACAGGAAATACACAATGAGTGTCCAATTTATGGGCCACATCTGTAAAACTTGACTGTGAAGTTACTCTAGGCTAAATGATGCCTCTGCCTACAGGTACATGGATAATGTCTACACTTACAGATACATGGTTGATGTCTACCCATACAGATACATGGTTGATGTCTACCCATACAGATACATGGATAATGTCTACACATACAGATACATGGTTGATGTCTACCCATACAGGTACATGGTTGATGTCTACCCATACAGATACATGGTTGCCTGGATGATGCCTACACCTACCGATACATTGATGATGCCTACCCCAACCGATACATTGATGATGCCTACACCTACAGATACGTGGATGATGCCTACCCCTACAGATACATGGATGATGCCTACACCTACCGATACGTTGATGATGCCTACACCTACAGATGCCTGGATGATGTCTACACTTACAGATAAGTGGATGATGCCTACACCTACAGATACATTGATGATGCCTACCCCTACAGATACATGGATGATGCCTACACCAACAGATACATTGATTATGCCTTTATCAACAGATACATTGATGATGCCTACACCTACAGATGCCTTGATGATGCCTACCCCAAAAGATGCCTTGATGATGCCTACACCTACCGATACATTGATGATGCCTAAACCAACCGATACATTGATGATGCCTACACCAACAGATACATTGATGACGCCTTTATCAACAGATACATTGATGATGCCTACACCTACAGATGCCTGGATGATGCCTACACTTACATATACGTGGATGATGCCTACACCTACAGATACATTGATGATGTCTACACCTACAGATACGTGGATGATGCCTACCCCTACAGATACATGGATGATGCCTACACCTACCGATACGTTGATGATGCCTACACCTACAGATGCCTGGATGATGCCTACACTTACATATACGTGGATGATGCCTACACCTACAGATACCTGGATGATGCCTACACCAACAGATGCCTTGATGATGCCTACACCTACCGATACATTGATGATGCCTACCCCAACCGATACATTGATGATGCCTACACCTACAGATACGTGGATGATGCCTACACCTACAAAAACATGGATGATACCTACAGATACATTGATGATGCCTACACCTACAGATGCCTGGATGATGCCTACACCTACCGATACATTGATCATGCCTACAACTTCAGATGCCTTGATGATGCCTATACCTACAGATTACAGATACATGGTTGCCTGGATGATGCCTACACCTACCGATACATTGATCATGCCTACAACTTCAGATGCCTTGATGATGCCTACACCTACAGATGCCTGGATGATGTCTACACCTACAGATACGTGGATGATGCCTACCCCTACAGATACATGGATGATGCCTACACCAACAGATGCATTGATGATGCCTTTATCAACAGATACATTGATGATGCCTACACCTACAGATGCCTTGATGATGCCTACACCAAAAGATGCCTTGATGATGCCTACACCTACCGATACATTGATGATGCCTAAACCAACCGATACATTGATGATGCCTACACCAACAGATACATTGATGATGCCTACACCTACAGATACATTGATGATGCCTACCCCTACAGATACATGGATGATGCCTACACCTACCGATACGTTGATGATGCCTTAATCTACAACTACATTGATGATGCCTCCACCGACAGATACATGAATGATGTCTCCACCTACAGATACATGGATGATGCCTTCACGTAAATTACATAGATGATGCCTACACCTACAGCTACATTGATAATGCCTATACCTACAGACAAACTGATGATGTCTCCACCTACAGATACATGAATGATGCCTACACCTACAAATACATGGATGATGCCTACACCAACAGATTCAATGATGATGCATCCACAAACAGATACATGAATGATGTCTCAACCTACAGATACATGGATGATGCCTACACTTGCAGATACATTGATGGTGCCCCTTCCAACAGATATATGTAAGATACCTACAGATACAGGGGTGATGTCTACACCTACAGACACCTAGATGATGCCTACACCTACAGAAACATAAATGATGCCTAAACCTACAGACACCAAGATGATGTCTACACCTACATGAATGATGCCTTAGCCTACAGATACATGGATGATACATCCACCTTCAGATACATAATTTACCTTAGCTGTTAATAGGATGTTAAACAAAATTAAACCAAACCAATCCACAAATGGATGCCTTGATGATGCCTACACAAACAGATGCCTTGATGATGCATACACCAACAGATACATTAATGATGCCTACACAAACAGATGCCTTGATGATGCATACACCAACATATGCCT